TAGTATATCCATTTCAAATATCAATGCTTTGATTATAAGCCACATAAGTATCTATATTAATACACAAAACAAATAGCTGGTTGATGTCAAATTTTTTTAGGAAAATAAGTGAGACCTTCTTTTTGGAGAACCTTCACAACCCTCAAAGTGATTCACACTATTTATATATGTGTGAAGTCTACATCATGAGTGGTGTGGATCACTTTAGAAATTATGGGGTCCTCCAAAAATGAGGTCTATATCATTGTTTTTTATTATTATTATTTTTTTAAATACCCAAAAATACAAAATTTAATATAAATTGTTTCAATTATTTTCAACGGTTTTAAATAACTATCATAATTCAGTAATGATAGAAACTCTCATAAAACACAATCCCATAATCCTCAAAATGATCTCAACCATTCATGTCACTATCAGACACAATTCTCAAAAAAAATTCAAACACATCAATAATCAATACATTCATTACGAGAGTTACAAACATTTTCCATCATAATTATTCCTAGGGAAGTGATTGAGATCCCCTCCAATCACCAACCCCCACACACACGTGGTGAGTGGTGATTGGAGGAGAAGGAAAAAAAGAAAAAAAAAAAGAAAAGAAAAACTGACCAATAAGAGAGAGAGAGGGTTAAAGAGAATGCCTCTTAAGGGTCCAAGTCATTTTCCTTAGAATAATGCTTGGGACCCCCTTTTGGGGGTCACCCCCTCACCCCCCTTTGCCACGTGGCGGGTGGTGATTGGAGGAGTAGGAAAAAAAAGAAAAAGAAAAAGAAAATGTAACCAATGAGAGAGAAAGGGGGTCAAAGGGGGTGGAAAAAAAAGGGGAGATGAATCATTGTTGTTTTCCTTATTCCAATTACAAATTGAGTCCTGCTATATCCACCGAATAGTAACCCCCGAATGGCCCGAAAGAGGTGTCAAGACTTGGGAGGAGTGTCTGGCCAAGTCGCGCCAAATTTGTGTGGCTAACGAAACAAATGGCCAAATCAGAAAATTTGTGTGGATTAAACATTTCTGTTGTAAATTACACACACGTGTGCGCCCACCACCTCTAAGTATATATTTATATGCCCCACAAGTTTATTTGCATATCATATTTCAAATAGAATAAGATACAAAATGGTAATTGGTTCATTTGAGCAAAATAACAGGTACCATGTTTATTACTAGTGAAAAACGGAAAATGGGAACATAAATTTATATATTGAATGTATTCAAAGAGGTGCTCAAATTTGTATTGATAATATAAATTTAAATTTGATATGATGTGTAAAATAAATTTGATCTACAAATTTTAAATTCAAAATACTTCTCTCTATATATATATATACATCTTTTGCATACGTAACCTGCGGAAATGAGAATGTGGGGACTCATAAACAAACCTCAACAAATTAACATCTAAGCATAGAAACAATATGCTTTGTTGTTGCATGGTAAGTTTCTATTATTTTTTAAATATGATAAATCTTATATGTATGTATATTTTCAATGCATACTTAAAAGATGAAATAAATTTGATAACATTTCTCTATTTGAAATACAAAATATAGGGGGTGAGTATGGTACAGTTTAGGAGTAAATCATTTCATGTAATTTGAAACCAAACCCAACCAAATCAAGAAAATTTTGAAACTAATCCAGATTGAATTTGTAAAATGTGGTTCAATTTGATTTGAACTAAGATTTTTAGAAATCTGCTATCATTCGCAACACAATCACAAAATATTATTTTCAATCTACTAAATATCAATAATAAGCCATCATTCTTCAAATAATAATTGGTTATAACTAGTTTTATCACTATACAAGGATATGTTCACAAGTTCGCAAGTGTAGAGTGTTTACAACTTATGTATAAATAATAGATGTTCTGTGCACACTCAAATTTGACCATACAATTAATCTCTAATATTCCTCTTGGAATTCTGGGAACCAAGCTATAGAGTACAAAGTTATTGCCGAGATCCATGCCTGCAAAACCGAAATCAAAACTAACTCAGTTGCTCATCAATCGGGAGAGCACTCCAATACTAAAGTCAGTCAACTCACAAGAAATATAAGCACATATAACTTGAATGCTCTAATTCACACATAAACGCACATACTTGAGACCCTTGGGATACTTGCCTTTATATAAAGAGAAATGTTAGGGATCATGAAAAGTCTCTCATGAAAATGATCATGAAAGATTTGTGACCTCTGAGAAGAGTCCTAGCATCTGCAACCTAGTAGTCGTTAGTTTATCGTTTCCATACCTTGGCCAGTCACATTCTGCCATGTGGCATCTTAGCCCAAAGCCCCGCCATGTGGACAAGCCAAAAATTATGTCCTCACATATATTACTTGGGTATTTGAGTGTCTATAATAACTAACAAATTATAGTGTGTGTATATATATATAAACAGTCATATTTGGAGAATTGTAACTATAAAATCATGGAGTATGATTCGCTTATTTTAATAATCAAAATCAAACCATGCATTGAGAAAATGAATTATATACCTATTTACAATTTTTTTTTTTTTTCTACACCATGCAACAAGTAGATGATTCCCACCAAAGAAATGTGCTCTTTCAATCTTGATGGAAGAAGAGAAGGCCTAACATGAAAGAGAAGTGCCAATCAAGTTAGCCAGGATGACTGCCTGAGAACCAAACAAGGGCTAAGTAATACAAAATGATCCAATCTCTCAACCCTTGTGTGGAATTAGGCAAGCCATCCTTGGCTACCAAACTCTACACTCTGCCCTTCATGTAAGGCCTCTCTTCCTCTCTCTCTCTCTCAAACCAACTCATTCTCCATTTCATGCAAAGACTTGGCCATGGATGTCTCTATTTATAGCCAACTTGATATAGTAGACACACATACGATTCCGATATATGTATAGATCATCTACAGTTGAGTATTCTCTTTACAATCAAATTGCCTTTTTTTTCTAAAACAAGTCTCTTATCCTCTTTTTATTTCTTTTTATGTCTGGTTTGTTTCCACTTAAAATATTTTTTAATAAAAAAAATTATTTTTCAAAAAATCATTTGCTTATATTTGACTTTGTCCTTAAAATTACAATACTAATGGTTGTATTAGTGGTAGTGGGGTGGATGTGGTGGCAGTGGGGTGATGGTGGCAGTAGTATATGGTGGGATAGTAAGATTTTAGTTTGAAAAATGTTTTTGAACTTTTAAAAATAGAAAATATTTGTCGCTCAAATAAATTTATTTTTCATTGACCATAAAAAAATATTTTTGTTATTCCAAATGTCAAAAAATATGGAAAACATTTTTCCCCTAACAAATGGACATTTGCATGCATGATTGACTAGAAATCATGCATGATATTAGCTCAAAAAAAATGAATAAATAAGGGAATATATTCTATTAAAAAATGTGTGGAATCAATTTGTGTGGGTGTGTTTATGCTTTCTTTGCCCTTCTGGATAGTTGTAATAGTAGTGATTGGAATTTCAACGGCAAAGAAAAGTGCTTGAAAGATTTTCTTTTTCTAGGCCAGCTCTACCTGTTGTGCTATGGGCAGCCCAAACTTGCACCATAGTCAAATTTACCTCCAAACTTTCAACACTCCTAATTCGAATCTTGCCAACTTCTTTTATTTCCTCCTACTGACAATGAGAAGAAGAATTTTGATGTTATAATCAATAAGAGGAAATAAAAAGAGGAGGAATTGCATTAAGCAATGTTCGAATTCGAACATCACAGTGATAGATGATTGTTTATCCACTACGCCAGCATCTTAGAATGTGGTTGGATGAATGATTTTAGGAGGGATGAGTGGACGGAAATTAAAAAGCTATTTTTAGCTAAATAAGATAAAGAATTAAAATAAAAATAAATATAAAAAAAAATTATGTGTCATTAGTTAAAAAGGTCAAAAAAATAATAAATTTTTTCACTAACAGAAATACTAACTTTTCAATAACATTGACGATACGGTTCTCTATAATTATTTTTATATAGAAAAATTGTCAATAAATCTAAGTTGAAGAGTACGTTTGGTGTTGGATCCAAGAATTAATTTTATTTCATGAGAATGACATGCATTGAAAAGTTGTCGCTGCCATCGGCTAGTAGTAGCAATCGGTGTGTGTTAAATAGATAGGTGATATTGAATAGATAAATGAATAGATGGGTGGTGTGTTGAACAGATAGGTGATATTGAATAGATAGGTGAATAGATGGGTGACACGTGTACAAATAGTGAAATACTTGAACAGATAGTTAGATCTTTGAACAAATAGTTACATAGATAGTTGACACTTGTACAAATAATATAACATTTGAACATATAGATTGATAGGTAAACTTTAAACAATTAGACGTCATTTTTGGACAAATAATGCATTTTTAGCCCAAAAGGATTGAAGTATAGGTCTATTAATCTAAAAATTTTAAAAATAAATTTTTGACTCGAATAGCATTTTTTTATTTATAGAAATGGGAGAAAGAAAAAGAATTAACCATTTTATTTTCTTGATTGAGTGACCACTTTATTCTCTTTCTTTCTTTCTTTTGGTACTTCCCTACTGACCTTCACTATCCGTGCTTCAAATTTTGACTTCTACAAAAGGAAACGCAAAATCTAGAAATGCTTCATTAGTACTCGAAGTTACTAAAAAACGTTTAAATAATGTCGTTGAAGAAAAATTTTGCTTTGAAAAACGGAAAACCTTATCAAAAATTGATTCTTTCTCCGAGTTCTTGAACAGTTGTACATCCTCCAGTCCTTCACTTTATAAGATGGAACTTATCTCAAGTGCCCCCAACTTGACAACCCAAATCAAAAAGTTTTTGCCACTTGACAAATATATCAATTATCACACATTTTTTCCCTTTTTTCTTTTCTCTTTTTAGGTTTTTTTTTTTTAAAAAAAATAAAATAAAAATCACATTCCTCATTTTTCCAAAAAAATATTTTTGAAATGTTTGGATCAAAATGATTTTAGGTGTAAACCACATCATATAAATTTATACTATTAACTTTGAATTCTAAACAATTTCTTAAAATATTTTTATGAGTACATAGTCTTCAAGAACTTCCCACATAGAATTAAAAGCAAACACTAACTCTACAACATACTCTGGAACTACACAAACTACACAACTGAAACAGAGGACACAATTTGAGAGAATTTCTGCACAAATCCTAATCATGATCATAATGCTCTGTTTGGTTAGGAGATTTGGAAAGAGATTTAAAAAAGGAAAAAGAAAAAAGAAAAAAGTGTGTGAAACTAAGTAAAATATTGGTATATTTTATTCATATTTCACCTATCTTTTCTCTTTTACTTTTCAAATTTCTCAACCATACACAATGTAAAAACACAATGTAAATGAATCAAAGCTTTCTCATCATCTCCAAAGAATGGCAATACAAATTCACTTTACCACTTACGTGGCAATTTGATTCACTATTCCCATTTTGCCCTTCTTGTCCAAATGGATCTTCAAATAGACCCTCCTCATTCTAACTGCCAGCAGTAAGTCCAGTCCAAGCCCAAGAACACAAGCAAGGGCCATGATCACAAAGACAAGCCTGTAACATTGAGGTCCGATGCACACGTTGCCGCCTCCGGGGGAGCTAGAAGCTTGAGCATCATACAGATATCCAGCAAGCAAACCCGAGAAGACGAAGGAGCCAAGGGGAAGATTGAGAATGAGGATGTTGTACAAGAGGCCATAATATTTGAGGCCAAATAACTCGGATGCAATTGGGACTGTGGCAGCAAGACGGACCCCATAGCATATTCCAACCATTGTTGAACCAATGTAAAGAGATCCTGTGAAGGCAATGGCCATTATAATGAATCCACAAGCCATTAATACTTGAGAAGCTGCATTCCACAGAGGCCTTGGCATTGCAAATTTGCTGCAGATGTTGTATGCATATTAGCCATGGCATAAGTTGTAAAGTTGCACAGAACACAAGTGTTGCACAAAAATTGAACACTTGAAAAAGGTTTTCCAATTAAAATCACACTTTTACCTCTAATTGAAAAGGGTTTTCCAATTAACTCCCTAAAACTTTCAAATTATGTCCTTAAATTTTTATTTCCTCTCTTTTCTTTTCAATAAATTCCCTACAATTTGTCAATATAAATGTTTAATTTTGTCAAAATCTTCTCTTATAAATTTTATATTACTTCCCTCTTGTATTTTACTCTCTTTTTTGTCATGATCATCATGTTCAGAAACTATAATAGAAAATCAACACAAAGAGAAATGCTCAGTTAACTGAAAAATATAATTTTGACATCATGTTGATTTTTTGTCCTCCTTTCACAAATGAATATTGGATTCGGTTGCATTGAGATTGATCTCGCTAAGGTTACGACTCAATAATGTCCCTACGAATCAAAATCTTAGCTCCACCACTAACTATAAAGAACCAAACTGTGCCCCTTTAAGAACCAAATTGTGACCCTTTAAAAACCGAATCATCCAAACTCACAAAGGTCGGGTTAATTTGATTGGCAGGTTTTTTAGGTCATTTAGGTCATTTACCCACCCCTGCTTGATACCATGAGTTCATTTTGGACTTCCAATGAATGAATGATAGCAAACAAAGATTGGAAGATTAGACAAAGTGTTTGTGTGTTGCCAACAAATTGTAGTAATGTTAATGAGCAATGATGCAAAGAGTGATGATCCTATAATACCTGATATAGTACTCGGACGCCATGCCTGAAATGATACGACCAAAGAATCCCCCAATGCTAGTAAGTGACACGAAAATGGAAACATCATTGTACCCAAGTGCCCTTCCCATCTGTCCCATGTTGTTTATCACACACATCCCTGTCCCGACCCCACAAAGAAACGACACAAACAACACCCAAAAATCAAAAGTCTGCATTGCTTCAAACATCGTATGATCTTCTCCAATAACTGGCCATCTCTTGACCTCAACAACATCATCTTCATCTTTCTTAACCTCCTCAACAAGCAATGGCTCCTTGATTTGTGCTTCAGCATCTGAATCAGAGCTAGGCCTGACTACAATGTAGTACAAGGGAACAAGCAGTGGACTTGCAAGGAGGATAAGTAATCCGATAGCGAATACTAAAGAAATTATGTGGATATGAACACCGGAGACATCGAATGCTAGTAAATAGAAGGCTATGATGACGGCCACGACATTAAAATAGTGGAATATGTGTGGTTCTTTGGTTTCTTCGGTGGCGGTGGGAGGCGGTGTTTCATGGAGGAAGAAGGCAGCGGAGAAGCAGACGAGGGCGGGGCCGATAGAAAGAGTGAGGAGAAAGGTGGAGGGATTGGAGGAGAAGAGGGAGGAGGAGAGGTCAGTGAAAATGGCAGTGCTGAGGCCTAAAAAGCCTTTTAAGATGCCAGAGACAGGGCCTTGGTTGTGCTTGAAGTTCCTCATGCATGTAACTAAAACTGCTGTGTTCAACCATGTTGTGCTGTTACCTCCTAGGCAAAGAAATATACACATCTGTGCCAAAATAATAATGAGATTTTAGTACCAGTATTGAGATGTTAATTGTAATTAACTCTTATTGTTTAGAGAAAACTAATACATGCAAAATATTGGGGCAAAATGAAGAATTAAAGTGAATAAAAAACTTGGGCAACTGATGATGCAGGAAAGCAAATAGAAACAAAATCATATCATTCTTACTTTTTGGTCTTAATAATAATAAATAAATAAAATAAAAAAATGGCTAAATTAAGTAGCTTAAAAAACAGAGGATAAATTTTATTTTACACCCTTAAATTTTATATCTAATTTCACTTTATTTCTTAACTTTTTAATTATCTTAGTCTGTCATATTTTGAGTCAAGTTGTATTAGAACTATTTGTATAATATTGTTTTGAAAACTAACAGAAAATAGCTAGCTTTAGCACTTCTATACTTTAACCAAAATTTCATTTTTGTAACTCGTTAATTTTTGAAATGACATTATAAACTGAACCTAATTATAACTTGATTCAAAATTAAGAAATTTGACTGAAACAACTAAAAAGTTCCAAGACAAATCGAGATTGAATATAAAAATACAAAAAAAGTTTGAAATCCCAAAAATCACTTAAATACATAATGATGTGGCAGGTTAAATATCCAACAACTCTTTTACTATAGCCTATTTTGGAAAACAAGAAAAAAATTATTTTTTTGATTTTTTTTTTAAAAATATATAAAAATAAAAAAGTGATATGACTCAAATAAATTAATACGTTGATTTTTTTATTCTAATGGCCAAAATAGGCCTATATAGTTGATTTTTTTAAAATTATGAGTATATTGATAAAATAGAGGTGGCTTGTTCTGGGAAATTAAGTTAAAAGTTAATTTTTAATTTTTTTTATTTTTTTTGAAAAAATATATAAAAAAATAAAGAGATAGTGTGATCTAAAAAAATCAAAAATAGATTTTTTTTTGCTTTTAACTGAGTTGTCAAAACAAGCCAAAATCTAATTTGGCCAAGAATAGAAGAGTTTGTGTTGTGTTGGGGGGTAATGAAGAAATGACATACCTGCCAGTATGGAAGAGGAGGAATCCTCTGGCTAACAACAAGCCATTGAACTCCATATCCAATAAACCCCTCAACTGCTCCAATTATGAGTATCACTGAAGTTGGAAAACGATCTGAAGCTAACCCAGATAGTATCCCAAATGCCTTGCCCACATCTTTAGCCACTGAGAGATTGTTGAGCTGGAGTTGGCTCAGAACCATTAGCGATTTCAGAGCATCGGAGTAGTTGGAAAATGTGTAATTGTTGCCGGCGACTGCCTGAACCCATATCGCCGTCACGAATCCCAGCCATTTGATCGCCGGAGAAGATGATGGAATAAGCGAAACTAATCTTAAAACCATTTTTTTTTCTTTTTTGAAATGTTTAATAATGTTTGGTTTGAATTGTATGTGATGTTGTTGTTGAGAGTTTATTTATAAGCATTGTTTGGTGTTCATTAATGGAAAACTTGATACTAGTTTTTGTTGGTTTGGACCATGGTTTTACAATTCAGTGACTAGTTTGTGTGTGTGTGATTGATTTGGATTAGAGTGGTCCCTTTAACTTGTTTTCTTAAAAGAAAGAAATGTAAATGAAATTGGTGTTTACTATTATTAATCACATAAAGAAATATTTATGTCGCTTTTACATGGTAGGATTTAAATTGATTTCCTCTATCACACTTATCCAAAGTTGTTGCATTAGAACATTTTTAATGAATAAACAAAATCTTATTATATTAATATAAGTAAGAAGTCGAAATAAATGAAACAAATTTAATAAAATATCATAAACATAATCTTATTATATTAATGTAAGTAAGAAGTGATTGAAATAAATGAAACAAATTTAATAAAATATCATTTATCTTTTACCACTACCTATCATGGAAAGTGGTTTTGCAGGCCATTTCTCTCCATCCCCCGGTTTACGCCGCGTCGCCGCCATGTTTGGTCGATATCAGCAGCATATTATAATACGAAGATAGTACAAATTTAAAACTCAATGTCGAAAGGAGGAGAATTTATTTGATACTCTTGACACGGTCACGTGATATTTTAAATATGTAGTGATTGATAAAAGAAATGAGATTCATGATTTTATATTGAGTGATTTAAAAATAATAGAAAGTATGATGCATGGTAATTGGTGAGACACCACATGATGACTCTTCAGGAAAACCTTTCTTGTTTTTATTTTTCAGAAAATACTTTTTAGAAAATTTTACTCTCTTATTTTTTTTTGTTTTTTTGTTTTTACTGATGTTTTTAATATTTTAAGCAAATTTTTTACTTTTTAGACACACCTAACATAAATACACTTAAAAAGTAAAAAAAATTGTAAAAAAATCTTTTAAAAATTCACTAAATATCAAAAATACAAAAAAATACAAGAATTCGGTACATTTTTTGTATTTTTATGTATTTATTAATTTTTTAAAATATTTTTTTACAAATTTTTTACTTTTTAAATACATCTAACTAAGGTGCATCTAAAAAAGTAAAAAAAATATTTAAAATTTAAAAAATATTCACTAAAAACAAAAGAATACAAAAACAAAAAAAATCAATTTTTAAAAAACTTAATTCAAAAAATTCAAACCAAACACACTGAATAATTTTTCTCAAAAGGAGGTGGTGGATCACACTAGAAGCAATTAAATTATTATACTTTCTTTGCAGGAAAATCATTGCTTAGGTTTTGGATCACAAGGTTTGTTTGTTTGTTTGTTGATTTTTTTAATTTTTTTATATCATAAAAAAAAAAAAAAAAAGAACTTTTATTAATGAGAAAGGAGCTGTGAATCACAAGATAAAATCAAAGTTACCGACCTTTTAGGAAAAACATTATACCATTGTTCACATTCAATTGAATGAAAATTGTTAGATAATTTTAAATTATCATCGGTTAATATTGTATTTTTGATAAATAAAAAATTCCCACCAAAACATAACTTAAACTAATGCTTGGAACAAGTATAGTTAATGCCAGTAACAGTAACCACAGCCAATAGCATTGTTGGAGAAAAAAACACCCGACTAATGTACAGTTATTTTACAGATCTACATTTGATGAAGAATGACACAAAACAAATAAATAATTTAAACAACAATGTGTACATACCACACTTTTTTCTTTTTTCCTTCTCCTCCTTTTTAGAGTAATTTTATTTAACAGTCATTTTGTATAGCACTGCAGGAACGTATGGCAGGAATGTATGGCAGAGGATCCGGACTAGTAGCAAAGACTTCTAAATAAGCTGAAAACACTTTTGACAACAGAGTAGCAATGATCACATTCATCTCAGATAATTAAAATCAATTATATTGTTTTAATTTATCATATGATATTACTAACATATCACTCGTGTTATGTACGAATTGTATTTACAATTATCTATATATATGAATTGTGATTTTTAAATATTTTTTTTAAACGTCTTCTTTTTTTCCTTTTTTATATTATATTAAAATTTAATATTTTGATAATAATCATATATATTGGACTTTTCAAGAAATTAAATGTCTTTTTTTATTATATTATATTAAAGTTTAATATTTTGATAATAATCATATGTATATATGTGAATTGTGATTTTTAAATTTTTTTTTATAAATGTCTTCTTTTTTTCCTTTTTTATATTATATTTGTTAGGTTTTATTCTTGGCAACCCCGTTTGACAAAACTCCTTTCAGTTGTATTTATTTTCGCACTTTTATTTCAGTGAGGCTATGAGTGTTTAGATGCGAATCCAACCCGAATTGTGCCTTTCAGAGAAGTTTGTGATGCTAATACTTTCAAAATTGTCACTTCGCTGATTATGACTGGGATTGAGCTACCCGGTTAGCTCGCGGGGGTCGAGGGGGCAGCGCCCCTTGGCGGGTCCGGGGCAGCGCCACGGTAGGGTCGAGGGGCAACGCCCCCGAAGCAAAATGCAAAAATGCATTCCAAGTTGCCTGTCCGCTCGAGCGGAGAATCCCTGATTCCAGAAGTTTTGGTCGCCTGTAAAAGTACTGAGCTGTGTGATTTCGCGCTCGAGCGGGTTCTCTAACGCTCGAGTGAACCTCTGTTATATCACGCGCATATTTTGCTGAAGACGCTCGAGCGGGCTATTGGGCGCTCGAGCGGAGATCGCGGGACAGATTCTATAAATTCGCATGTTGGGTCAGATTTTAGGATTACTATTCCAGATCTTCTTTTTAGGTTCTAGGGTTTATATCTGGGGATACTTTGTGAGTTTTCTTTGATGTTTTGATTGAGTATTCAACTCATGTTTTAAAGAATATACATCAAAGGTTTTGTTTGTTCTACAAAAGCGAGAGTTGTTCTTCGGTAGATTCTGAAGAATTCGAGCCTGAAGCGTTGGTGGATTCCGGGGTGGCTCATCGTAAAGACAATTCTGAGATGAAGATGGGTTGGAAGAGGCACATAGAGGTTGGTTCAATTAAGCGTGGATTCGCTGGGTAATTGAGAGTATACCTGTGTAATTCCTTTAAATCTTCTTAGTGAGTTGTTTTGTGGCTATTGCCCGTGGTTTTTTAATCACAGTTGAAGGTGTCCAATTGTGGTTTTTTTCACGTTAAAATCGTTGTGTTGATTTGTCTTGATTGTTTGATTGGGATTGTTATATACTGCTTAAAATTGTTATATAATCACAAATCAATAAATAGGGGATTTCTAGATTTTTCAATTGGTATCAGAGCAGGTCGTTCTATTTTTTTTTTTAAAAAAATATTCTTTTAGAACGAGATCTTGTTTGATTTGTAATAATGGATACAATTCGTGAAGGAAATTCTATGGTTCGATCACCCCTACTTGACGGATCCAATTATTCGTTTTGGAAAGCTCGAATGAGATCGTTTTTAAAATCTATTGATGAAAAAGTTTGGCAATCTGTCATGAATGGGTGGACTGAACCAACAATTACCGTTGATGGAGTAACTACAAACCTGCCTAACACATCCTATAACTCAAATATGAAGAAAAAGGAATGTAAACACGATAATAACCAACTACCAACATCCACGGACACATGTCCGGATCACTGTACAACAAGGGTAAACCCGGGATCGCTATAGACGGGGGGCAGCCCCACGTGGGTTGCCTTCCTAAGAATTGATTTCTCCCAAAAAAATATAATATCATTTTTGCAATAATACCTCAAAATTTTATAATATAAATTATAAAATGATATAATTTTCTCACCACAAAATATAACATTTTTGTACACCACAAAATATAATCTTTTGCTCACTATGAAATATACACCCATTTTATTTACTATAAAAATATATAATTTTTCACCATATGATACACACCATAAAATCAACTATTAAATATTTATTATAATCCTATATAATAAATAATAACAACTCCCAATGTAATTACTACCAATCACATAATTAAAAAGGACCAAGCAATTAAACATGAGTCATAAATAAGTTCAAATTAAAGTAAATCTAAATCATGAATCTTGAATTTAATTCTCACTCATAAACCAAACATTGCCCAATTATATATCAAAATAGACCCAACAAATTTATCTTAAATCATGGTCCAAACACCCAAAACTCAATTTTAAATTTTGCTATAAATTAAACTGAATCAGTCTGTGAATTTTCATAAAATAAATACTCATCATTAAATTCTGAAATTTTTATCCAACAAGCTAGACTCTTATAAGAACAACATAATAAAAATTTCATAATTTCTAAGATCGAAAATTATATTTTTTAAAAAAAAATATTATTACAAAAATTGAACCATTTTCGCACATAACTTTTCACAACACTCCAAGCCAAATATTACTCAATTAATTTATGCACTAACTATCTTTAAAAAAAATATTTTGGGTCATTACAGGTCTTGAATGTAATTCATAACAGTTGTTTATGATTAATTGTGTTATTTGACACAATGAATCTCATTAACTGTGTTTTTGATATATTTCCTATTATGAATGGTGTACATACATATATGAGAATGAATGAATGAATGATAACATGAATAGTCTTTGATAAAAAGACATTATTAGACATTTTAAATACACTCTTTACTTAAAGACTATATTAAACTAGTTGCTAGTATTGTGGTACATAGAAGAGACTATGTCGCACTATTGGCGTAAAACCGCCATGACTCGCATTAGTGAACTATTTAACTATAGTGTTATGATGATGATCACATTAAAGTAAGATTGGATATGATTTATTGCACGCTTAATGTTTACCTTATTAAATCTTGATATATGTTATCATAAAGCCCAAGCGGGAGAATGTAAGACTAAATTTAATTATTTAGTTATTATAGTGACCTACACGATATGACAATATGAATTATAGATTTAATAAGATTATAGTTCTATATCTTGCACCACAAGTTATTATCTAATTGATCAATAGATGGAGTAGTTTCCAAGTCTCTTACTTTGATGGGCAAGTGGAATTATAATTATATTAAGAAACTGGTCCTCTCTCTACCTATAAAAGTATATTCAGATCCCATCAATTATTTGGAATATAACATATTCTAAACAAAGTTAAGAGAGAGAAACATTTTTCCACCAATATTGATATTAGGTTTATGTTCAATCCATTTTAAATCACTCGAAGGTTTCGCATAATTGATTTGGGTATGTTATTTATTTTCTGCATTGTGTTATTATTTGTGAAAATCATGATAGTTCATGATTTTGAATTATGAAGGTTGTTATATGCATAACACCATAAAATTATTTACGGATTTTGATCATTAAAGTTCACCCTCTAATTCGTAGTGGAATTGCCATTGCCATTATATCCTAGGACCACACTACTTTTCTCGCCTACAAATTTGAGTCAGAGAGCATCACAAAATTCCATTGAGGTTGGAAAATACAGCAAATACAAAGCTAATACAAGTTTGAAGTGCAAATAATTTATTAGGCTAGTCTATACGGAGCTTTGCTATGACTTTAACTGAGTCCAATGGACTGAATACGCAACTTTTCTCACTTTTTCATTCTCATCCCATCAGAGCGAAATGAAAAATGCACAAGGCTAATACAGCTCATAGTTTGATTATTAACGTTCATCCTCTGATCAACCTCCCACTCCCACAACTACACTACTTCTCTTACTTTCCCATTCTCATCCCATCAAAGCGAAATGAGTAGGATTTTATTTTATTTTATTTTGTTTTGAATAAATTACAAATATATTCCCAAACTTTTCTTAAAATAGGTTTTTTCTTGTTGTGATTTTGAAAATTAAAAATACTCATTTGTCATAATTTTTATTTAACAAAATTTTTTTTAAAAAAATTCTTAATTATTTTTCTATACAATAATAAAATTACATAAATTGTTAATTAAAATTTATTTATAATATCATGAAAAACTGAATTAATTTGATAATTTATTAATAAAATGAGTCACATGTTATGCAATTAAAAACCTGAAGAACGAGATGCTATTTCCAAAACTATAAGAGCATCTACAATGGCAAATGCTATAATAAAATTTGTCAAAACTATAATTTGACAATAAACATTAGCAAATTGCCAAATTGTAGCAATAATGCTCCATTGGTCACATGCTATTTTGACAAATCACAACTAACTTTTCCTCTAATTTTGTAAATATTGTTTGGATATAGACTTTTAGTAAATTTTTTATAGTTTACTTTTTTTTTTTTTGTCTTTTATGACATTTTCAAAAAAATTTCTACAAAAAATTAAATACTTACATTCTACCCGACCAAACAAATATAAAAAATTTAAAATAATTGAAATAAAAAATATAAATATAATTCACCTCACATCTCTCTCACCCACCATTCATTTACCAACAATCATACATTAAACAACATTATTCATTCATAAATTACCACCCATGATTCACCCACATAATACCTGAATAGAATTACCACCCATGACGAAATGAGGTTGTGATTCACCTTGGGAAGTGTAAACAGTGCCACCCAACTACATTGCGAAGCAATCCAATTACACATAACAACAATTAACCATATAATGAACAAAGTTAATGAAATTAACTCATCAAACTAACCATATAAAGACCACATTACTATTAAATATTACCTGAATAGAATTATTACCCATGCGAAAATGAGGCTGAGATTCACATTGGGGAGTATAATCAGCGCCACCCTGCACACAACGAAAAACCTTAATGAAAGTGGGTCATTACTAAATAAAATCAATGTTTTAGTTTACTAATCTACTGTATTTTAATCGTATGCAATTTGTCATGTCCAAACCTGAATAGATTGCATCCTTTTCTTCTTTGCAATAGCTTTTTCTATCCCGCCTTTGATCCTCCTTCTTCCCTTACTAGTTGACTCTCTTTTCTTCAGTCCCTTCGCTTGGATTGGACAATCTACTTCATCACTCTGTGGGCATGCATTGCTTGGCGAATTTCTCAAATCAGTTACCTCCACTTGACCACAAATGTGGAGACTTAATTTGTCTTCAACCATTACACTCAGTTCTTCACCTTTTGAAACTAACAATTGATAAGTTTCTTCACTTTCAGCGGCTCTACTCGCTATTGCTCTAAACATGGTCATTAATGACCGATATCGGTCACTTTGATGTAATTTGACATCAGCCTTCACTTCATACCCATGTCTATCTTTCACTCGTTCAGCCCTTGCTTTTTTAGTCCATCGTTTGAGTATATATTGTGGAGGAAGTTTCGTTGCATTGAATATATCTCTAAGCACCTTGAGACAATGTCGACATAATATGCCCTTCACTTCAAACTTCTTACAACTACAACTCAAACAACCCCCTCTATCCATTGTCACAATCTTATCTTTTTTCCCATCTACCATTGTTCTTATTGTGAATTTGGTGCTCTCACCATCATTAGTAGTGCCTATAATGGATGCTTCAATGGACTGCACATACTCATTTTGGAATTCCTCAAAAATAGTTTTCGTGTAAATCTCTGCCACTTGCTTTAACATCACAGTTGGAATTGAAACCCTCGGCAATTTTTGGGACAAATTATACTCCGCTTCCAATTCCTTATATCTCTTCTCATAAAGCACCCTCTCAAAATGCTTGAAGAACTCCATCAAATTATGGTCACAATTCAGATAATCCTTCAAAAATGCATTGAAGGATTCACTAAGTTGAGTGGTACTCATTCCAGCTGCCCAAGAATTCATAATATATGGCTATCCCCATTTCTTCTTCACGTGAAAAGTCTGCTCCAACCAATGATTGTCACATGCATCATACTTATCAAGCATTTGGTCCCACTGTATTCGGAATTCTTCTTCATCATCAATGTCATGCATAAATTTTGAAAACACAGCCTTGACCCCTACATCATCAAAAACAAAACTTACATGCTTGACAACATTTTGCATCAAATGCCACGTACAAAGTCGGTGGTTTGTATCGGGCATGACAATTAGAATGGCCTTAGACATCGCAGCATCTTGATCTGTGAAAATAGTTTTTGGAGCTTTGTTTAACATTGCCTCTAGAAAAATTTGAAACAACCATGTAAAAGATTCAGTAGTCTCATCATACATCAACGTTGCACCGAATATAATTGTTTCTCGATGATGATTAAATCCAACAAATGATCCAAAAGGTCTATGCTCATTATTTAATTTGTAAGTAATGTCAAATGTCACTACATCACCAAACTGAGCATAGTCCATGATCATTTGAGCATCGGCCCAAAATATATTACTTATCTGCTCTTCACAATCTAATTGGACTGCATAAAAAAAAAGATGGATTTTTCACAGTTTTTTTACGAAAGTAATGCAACACACTACCCGCTTCTCCATATTCCAAATCTTTTTGTCTCTTCGATCTTAAGTAATTTTTTTGGTCCAATTTCGTGAAATCAAGTGATGCTTTTCCACCAGATTCCCTACTAAATAGCTCATAAGCAGACCTAAGAGGAATTCCAGACTGTGAAGCTAATTCTACTTCAATTGCTTGGGTGGTAGATATTTTTCTTTGGGATGGCAAGATATGAATGCAATCTTGAGGCACAAGATCATGATTATGATGTTCAACAAAATCACAAGCAATATATTTTCCTGATATTCTATCTAACTTGATACTAAATCTGGCACCACAACCACATCTTATCTCTTGTCTTGGATTTTTGACAAGTAGATCTCGTTTGTCAATACCCCGACTTCCCTCTTTGTAACATACAAACGTGCGTGATGTTATCTCCTTCGTTTGTCTGTTCTTGTTTGCATATGCCTTCCTAATACTAAAGCCCACCTTTCCCCCATACATATTGTAAAAGTCATATGCAGCTTGTTCAGAGTCAAATGGCATTCCCACTTTCGACTTCCAACCACAATCATCAACAATATTATTTTCTTCCATTACCTACAATTCATATGTATAAACCACATTTATACTTAATTGCAAGTTCATATATATAAACCACATTCATATATATAAATCACATTTACCTACAATTCATATATATAAACCATATAATTATATGAATCCACAACTAAATTTATGAATCTGAAAATAGATCAATGTGATTAACTATATGTGTAGAACATAAAATTGCATATGAAAAAATCTGACTTGCTTCACTGACTGAACCCATTTCATATGAAAAAATTTGAATTAATTGATTTCAAAAATCTGAATTTGAATTAACAGATTAAAATCTGAATCAAATATATTCAAATCAAATTTGAATTAACATGGGTTAATCTGAATCAAATTTGAATCAATTTGAATTAAAATCTGAATCGAATTTGAATTAATCTGAATCAAATTTGAATTAATCTGAATAAAAAATATTAAAATCTGGATTTGAATTAACAGATTAAACCTAGGCAACAGATTAAAATCTGAAATGGGTTAATAAACCATCTATGCATATATACATATATATCAGAACAAATCTGAAACAAACAATAACAACCATATATGCATATATACATATATATCTATGAATCCCCAACAGATACAGATTTTAATTTGTGAATCAATAACAACCATCTATGAATCAATCTGAAATGGGTTAAAATCTAAAAAAACTCTATACATATATACATATATATATATGACAGCAAGTTATATATATATATAACAGCAAGATAATGAAATACACCTCGCTGTCGCCGCAATGTGGCCTTTTCGCCATCGCATCGCATCGCATCGCATCGCCGCCGGACTCACCATCGCGCTGCTCCTCCATCTCTTTCGTATCAGTGCCTCACTCCGCCTTTTCAGTCACCTCTCACGATGCCTCTATCTCTCTGCTAGGGTTCACTGACTCAGATAGATAGTGCAAAGGCGAAGAAGACGATACAGAGAAAGAGAAAAGGGGGGAAGGACGACTCAGAGAAGGGGGAAAACACGACTCAGAAAAGGGGGGAAACACGACTCAGAGAAGGAGAAAATGAGGGAAAGAAGGAAGTCTATCTATTTTTTGAATAAATAAAAAAAAAATTAATACAAAACGACGTCATTGTTAGAGAAAAATGGTTTATAACCATTAATTTCCAGTAACTTTGAGCTTTAATTAATGTAGGTCCCACACCTCGGTTTGGGTGGGTCCGAGTGGCAATACGTTCCTTGCCATGTGGTGAACAAGAATATATACTCGGGTGGTTGAAACCATTTACGAGTGAATGAGAAATTGATACCGAAGTAAGCCTCATAAACATGAAAAATGTTTTGTGTGGTTACTTTGAATTGGTATCTAAAACTTTGTCCCACATAGGAAACATAGAAGAGTTTCAAAGTGTTTATAAGCTCTAAGGTGGAGACCTTGGGTTGGGCCCCAAGGGGTACCCAAGTTTTGTAGGAGGAGGAGTTATGGACAAACCCAAAACCATCACCACACGCGCGCGCCGCCGCTGCCGTCCGTCCGGCCGGGTCGGGTCGGGTGTGGGTTTGGGTCTTACCCGTCCTTTATATTTTTGCTCCAAAATTATTTGAATTTATTCAAATAAATTTCTGCGGGTAACATTCAAATACCGAAATTTTGAATTCAAAATTTTCGGTTATCCTTCTTCAAATTCCGAACAATCACGACTGTTCTTCCTAACAGGTTTTGTCTGTTCGGAAATGGCACTCCACTGCCATTATATATATTTAGCAATCCTCCATTCCAAAAGATATAAAAAAAATAGATTCTGGCACAGCTATTCTCTGTTTTCTGTTTCTGTACATCTTCATCTTTGCATCTTGTGTGAGTTCAAATAAACATTCTGGTTCGCTGTACAAACAAGGTTGTAGTGCTGCATCTGTTTGGGGTGATTGTTGTATCCTGGAGGCAGGACGTCCGTTATTCTCGAGCACCTAGGAGAGGACGAATTTCTGTCTTAAAGACACAGTGTCCATACACTGGCCTCAATCACAAGTTTATTCTAAGTTTAATATTGCTGAAAGTTGTAAGTTCTGTCAAGATTTATAATCTATTTTATTATTCTGTTAAAGATTAAAATCTGTTCATGCTTTATAATATGTTCTGTTTTTTTTTTCCATTCTGTAAATTACATATTCTCGGAGAGTAATTTTATTTAACAATTTTAAGACAGAAATTCTTATATATATTAATTTGCAGAATTTTGATGTAGTCTGTATATTTATATACCAGACAGAACAGTGAAATATGTTGTTTTATTCTTTATTTCATTAGCGTCGAAGCCTTATATCACATGCGCTACTTCTTGAATTATCTGTTCACATGCACTGTTTTGTTTTAATATAATTCTGGTTTGACAGAAATTCTAGATTGAATAAAATTCTTGTGAATAATAATATATTCATGATAATAGTTTGATTGTATGTTTCATTAGTACTCAATTAGATTCATCACATGCACTGTGTTTGAATAATTTGTTATTATTTTATTTCTTTAGTGCACTAGGAGTTTTATCACATGCCATGTGTGTTGAATAAGTTTATTTAAGTACATGAGCAGTATCTTTGTTTTCTGGTTATTGGCTGTTATGTATCACTAGAATTTTGGTTTTTTCTATTTTGAGTTTAAACAAATTCATAGTGTTTCTGGATTTGGTTTCATGGAGCATGATTAGTTTTGTCTTTAGGAATTTTGGTTCATATAGTCTTTAGCATATACTGTGTATTAAATAAAGATTAGTTGTATACATGAATTTTTTATTTAAATACAGTACAATGTATCTTTTGTTTTACTGGTTGTCATATAACTGTTGAATTCTGTATATTTCTTTTCTGGCTTTTCTTACACAGTATGACTTTATAATTGATTGTTTTAATTAATCATATTACTGTTGGTCATTTTATTTGATTAATTTGGTAAGATAATTAATTTGGTCAATTTTATTGATACTCTTAACAGTTTGTTTGGTTGATTTAGTTTATACTATTTAATTTGTTTTGTTTCCAATAAAGATATATTCTTGTTCTCCTCATATTTATTTAGTTGTTTATTTTTCTATAGAATACTTTGTTCCAGTATTTTGGAAGTTAATTTATTCTTTTGGAAAATAATTTCTGTTTATTTTAATTTATTTTATTGATCAGAAAAATGGCAACTGAGAGTACTGTTATTACTCCTAATCCCATTGTGCCTCCACCTGTGGTTTCTATTCCGATTGTTACTCCTACTCTGACTTATGGCCCGGGTCATGGGAATTTCTATTTCTTTCTTTCTTTCTTTTTTTAATAATTTCTCATCTCTTTTATTATTCAAACAAACTAAGAGCTCTTTTTCTCTCTATTTCTTATTCTTTTCTCACCAAGTGCCTAAATCTGTAAATGTTGTCACTACAATAAATGGCACTCTTGTTAGAGAAAAATGGTTTATCACCATTAATTTCCGATAATTTTGAGCTTTCATTAATGTAGGTCCCACACCTCGGTTTGGGTGGGTCCGAGTGGCAATACGTTCCTTGCCATGTGGTGAACAAGAATATATACTCGGGTGATCGAAACCATTTACGAGTGAATGAGAAATTAATACCGAAGTGAGCCTTATAAACATGAAAATGTTTGGTATGGTTCCCATGAGTTGGTATCTAAAACCTTGTCCCACATAGGAAAC